CCTCCCTGAGAGAGACTTCACCCTGAGTCATAAGGAAAAGGGGATGGCGTATTCTCTTAGCTACTTCCTGCTGAAAAGGGATGCTGTGGGTTTCAGGGTAGAATTTTTCTTTTAGTTTTCCAAGAGGGTAGTGTACTAGTGGGGAGGGTTGGGAGTGGAGAAAAGTGCAACAAATGAATGAATGGAAATCCAAAGTCTTTGTAAATTTTTAGTGATATTAATAAAAATTTAAATAAAACAAAAACATTTTTATGAAAAATCATAATTGGCTCTGAGTAAAGGAGTGTAGGTTTATCCTGAAGTAAACAATTCCAAACTATGGAAAAGAAGTGGGTTTTTCTGTGCATATTTTCAGCAAAAGTAAAATTAAATATTAAAAACAACAAACAAAACCTACAGAGTAGTTCTACTCTGTAATACATGGGGTTTTCATGCATCAGCATTGATTTGGTAACTGATCTTGCTTTTCTTTACACTTGGAAAGCTGACAAAGAGCAAATAAGAAAGTAAACAATTAAAGAAAAAGGTCAATACTGCATCATAAGTGAAGCATGTGTCAAATTCTAATTCAAGAACTCTGATGGACTGGGGATAATTTTTTTTTTTCTGGCTTGAAATTTGGCTTATCAAACAAGCGACCTGTTTTATATTAGTGAGTGAATCAGCTGTTAACAAGACGAATCTATAACACAGTTTGATTATCTCCAACCCCAATACTTTAAAAAAATCAAACTTTTATTTAGGTAGTTAGGCAAAAATATGTTGATTCCATTACTACAGATAGTTGTTTATACAATATGCCATTGGATAATCATTAAGTAGCTTTATTAATGTAGACAACATTTTCAAGTATAAAGTGCATTGTGTTAAAATTATTTACCACCATTTTCAATAACTTACAGTCAATGTAAATGAAAACTAGCTGATTATCAAATAAAATTATAAAACCACAGGAAAAAAAGTAAGTATTTTCTGTAACTTTATCTTCCCATTATTTATAAAAATAGTTACTTTTTAATAGGTATCTGTAGTTCAATTAGATATGGGATATCTAATTTCCATTTTTAACAAGATTCACAGAATAATAGTTTTTTTTAAAGTTTTGGTACTTATTTTAAAGTTGTATTTCCTTCTGTTCTGATTTTTTTTTTAGTCATATTATAGGGAGCCCTAGTCCTTAGAAGCTGCGCTGCAATCTCAAAAGCACGTGGTTCAAATCCACTAGCTGCTGTGTGGGAGAAGGATGGACAATCTCCTCCCGAGTGATTAACTGCTTCTGAAAACCTGCAGGAGGGTCAGCTATGTTGACCCTCATGGCAAACAACACTGTTGGAAAAGCCAAATTTTAACTCATTCACTCAAATAATAACATACAATAACAATTAATCCCCACCATGTAAACAGAAAGGCTCAGCATTTCTGATTTAAAATGTAGTTTTGTTTCAGCTATCACACACTTCACAAAAACCCACCTCTCCCTAAATCAGAGTGGCAAAGGCCATGCTCCTGAACCACATCTCTAACAGCATTATGGATTCAGTATGGAAACAGATCTTTCAACCACTTATATCAGACTTGCTGAAAGTAGATGAGACACACAAATCTCACACATACCATCATTTGCCAAAAATACTAATTGGCAAAAACATTATGATATCTCAATTACAGGGTTCCTAAAACAGGAAATTGGGATTTTCATATGGTTGAGAATGCCTCACAGGATGCTGAAACATGACATAGGAGGCCAAAAGCAGTTTTACGGGAACCTGTCATTTCAATCGCTTATTAAAGATGTAGCTTGAAATGAAAGCACCAATTTCCATCAAACCTTCGGATTCCCCACTCCTCCTCCCCCTCCCTGCCAACTCTCCCATCTTTTGGAAAGTCAGAAAGTCCATTCAAACTCTTTGAACATGGCAATGACATTTACTTCTAGTTTGGCTGGTCAATTTTTACAATGACCTAAGAAGTGAGAAAGGTAAAGTATAACTTGGCTGCTGAGTGACTTTCCCATTTAGTATTCATAGAAAATGTTCATTCAGGAAAGATGAGAACCATAAAACTCCCAAAGACAAATATCCTAAAATTCCTCCCCACATAGAGAGTATCCCCAAAAGACAACAGTTTAAGCTTTAATAACCTCAGAAGCATAAATGCTGCAAACTGAAAGAAAAAGACACATCATTTGGAAGTTTAGTTGATTAGGTTTCATTACACTTCTTTAAGTCTGACTTTTGACAATTTTTTCGTCTTTGTGTGTTTGTTCTTTGCTTAAGTACTTGTGTTTGGAGATGGCAAACAGTAACTGATGTTAATTAGAACTAAAAACTGCACAAAGCTTTTACAGGTGTCCGGTACAACTGATTTCCAAGTTGAAAAACCCATTCTAGTTCGTT